GGAAGGGGCATGAATTGATTGAGGTGTCACTTCTACGGGGCTGGTGGCTGTTGGCTAGGTGCTGGGATTGGGAGGGGGGCGAGAGGTGATTGGGCTTCAGGTGGCGCCGGCGGGAACTGAGGACCCTGAAGAGAAGCCGGAAGTTTGCCATCTTACTGGTGGGGACCCTTCAAAAATTATAAGCTGGTAAGGAGGAGGGGGATGTCTAGATAGTCCTTTGGAAATCTTTGAATCACACCATTGGGGTTAATGGTTGTTTTACCTGTAATAAAAAGTGTACTATTATATCTGTGAAAAGTTTAAATCTGGAAATTGTGTTCTGTACTAATTGTTTATAAATGCTATTATCAGTACTATACCTATCACTGTGTTGTAGTATAAGCCCTGACAGTTATTATTATTATTATTCTTTTGGAATTCAAGTGCCTAACAAGCTCCAAGTCATCCACTTTAGAGAGCCAACCACCTCAGAGACAACTATCTAAATAAACATGCTGCCAATCACAGACTAGATAAGCAACCAGTCCTTGAAAACCACCCACCTCAACACACACGCACACACACATACCCACACATACACACTCACACTCAATCTCATTTGTTTTAAAGATCTTGGTTCATTTTGATACTTGGCCATTTGGGCCACTTGTTTCTTTCTCCTCCCACACTTTAAATTCCTGCTTTTATGTTTTAAATTCACCAATAAAGAGCAAGCCCACAAAGCCCTAGCCCCCCATCAAAACCCAATAAAAGCAGAACCTCAAGCCCATGCATTTTCTCTTTGTGCAACCTCCCTCTGTGGCCCCAGGTGAGTCAGGTGTTTTCTAGGACTTGTAATTAGTAAACTTTTTTTTTCTTAAAGTTTCCTGATGGTTATTGCTTAAGGGTGTCTTGTAATCATAAAACTAACTACAAGGGCTGGTCCAGCCACATGCTGGTTATTGATAGGCTGAGACCAACACACAAAACAGATATGATCTGGAAAGATAACATTTTGTAAGTCAAATCCTTTTATTTATATAATTTGAAGAATAACCAGCATACATTACATATAAACTGAATCATTTTTGCATTTTTAGTTAAAGCCAGTGTGCAGGATTGATTTAATATCTGAATAGTTCCTTCCACAGAACCAGTAAAAGCAGTAACAGTCACAGAGGCACCAGGATCAAAATCTCAGGAGTTTTTGAGATTTATCTTAGATTTTTCTTTATGGCCTAACACACCTGGGAATCCTGTTTTCAGAGGTAACTACAGTACTTACAACCTTGCTGAGAATTTTAAGTGGTTGAATAGATTCTCTATGATTTGTCAAATCTTTAATGTTATGTTATTGGAGGCAAAGAAAGATAAAAAATTCATAATGAACCAAATTTTAAGCATACTTTGTTTGGAGAGTGTCAAGTTTTGTGATAAAAGGTTTCAGAAAAATGTAAAATTCTAATGGATGCCCTTTCTGGAATTACAGCAAATCATAGAGAACTCTGATTTCAAACCAGACAATGAAATGTTCACATTGCATTGATAAGTTCATATTGATTCATAAATAAAAGTTCATGACGACTGATGATTCTGTAACATCTTTCTATATCGACAGTAACTGCAGTAGAGGGGGTGAGGATTTAATAATATGGTTAACTGTTGAACCACTGTATTGTATATTGAAACCAACATAAGATTATATATCAATGATACTTCAATTGAAAAAAAAAGTTGATTGATAGTTCATTCCAAAATGTAAATGTATATTTACCCTTTTTACTGTTCTATTTTGCCTATTTGAAAGCTCATTCAAACCAGTAGGGAGTAAAGTAGGCTTTAGGAAGATAATGTACAATAATAAGCTATGGAGATATTTATAGTGAATATGTGCTCATTCTCTCTTCACATTTTTGCTCTGTAGCCATTTGAAATATTGTGATAGATGAAATTATAATGAAATAGCCAATGACTGACTTAGAATTCCTCTTTTGTCTCTACATCTGTCATAAAGTTAAATTCCTACTTCATTGTTGCAGTCCCTCTTGTTAAAGAATATTTTTATACATCCCAACATAGCAGTAAAAAAATCTGTGGGGAATTTAATTTTGACCTTTCATAATCACAGAAAAAAGTAATATATTCTGAGAGTGTTAGATTTTCTGTGATAATTCAGATAACATTCTAAATTCATATCAAGTGTCATCCCTCCACGAGTCAAACGTCGTGTTATAGAACTCACATAAGAATAACGGAGTAAATGGAGTGTATAATATAAATGTTGGGTTTTTAAGAATGCATTTATATTCTTACTTTTTATTTTATTCTGATTTATGGGCATAAATCAAGTCCTGAATTATTCTGTCAGACTATGTCATAAAAGTATAAGTATAAATCCATGTTGATTTAATTCTGACTACAGAAACAATGTTCCTAGTGCTAAGGACTTAGTTTTCCACTGTTTGAGTAGTGCATGTAAAGTTTCAAATAAAAAGAGGCATTGCATCAAGAAACTAGTTCTGTCCCCCTTCAACTTATAAAAGCTTATCATCAATTTAGTGTTATTAAATACTCCTTAGAAATGATGTAATATTGTAGTTTATGAAAATATGACTAAAATAGACTCCTTGAGTGCCTTTACAGAAATGTTTCAATCTGTATGATAATCAGTTAACTTATCAATAGGTAATGACTTGATGTGCACAGATAAACTTTAGTTGTACAAAGAAAAATGCTCTAAAAGCTCGCATGTTATACTAAAATCTTTATAGTCTTTTTGAAAATAGTCAACTCATCTACAAATGTTCTTATGACATAAAAAAAAGTTTTGCAAGCAAGGGAAAGTGATACGTTTAGCACTGAAGGCACCATGTTGTCACAAAACTGTTAGATATTGATATGTTTCTGAAGTGTACCTGTAAATAATTAATAGTTCTTTGGTTAATAGTGATGTTATAAAACTACTATGTTGAGTCACTTTCTCAGTTTGGCCAAATATTTAATTTCCTGGAATTTTCTATTGTATCAGGTGATTAAAAATAGTATCTTATTTTTTAATAATTAACCAAGATTTTCCTTTCATTTTGAATAGACTCCTTCTTCTAGCATTATGCTTTAGTGTCCATTTGTAAATGAGTCAGTAGTTCATGCTAGATAATCACTAACTGATTAACTATACCATATATCTGCTAACATCTTTACTTCATTTTGGGGGTATCTTCGTAGTAATAGTCCCAACTCAGAGTTATAACCAATAGCCATATAAACGAGACCAGGGGATGGAATATCAGAACAAGAGTGCAACTGAGTGATTCTTTGTCACAACTTTATCGCCACTTGAAGACTTATGTGAGTAATTCTCTGGACAGTGTGTTTTTTTTGGAAATAGTATATTTTATGTGGCAAATAGTTAAAAAAATGATCTCTTTAAGACCAGATGTCTCCTTGTTACCCCACACTACAATTCTATCCACTGTAAGGATCTCCAAAAATTCCTCACCAGTATTAGAGTTGGAACACTCATGAGACTCACCTGATGTCTGGTACTTCCTGGGCTCTGCATACATCTGTACAAAATCTTGGGTGTATGTAAATGCATGATTATGCTTATCCTTTATCATCGGCCACCCTCCACAGTGTAAACTTCTCAAGTCAATTCTGGTCAGTATTATGTAATTTCATGTGTGACCCTAAAGTCCTCTACATGCTCCTTTTATTCATTCCGTTGCTGGCTTTCCATTCCTTGTGTCCTCTATAAATTAAAAACCTACACATCCTCTTCAGGGTTTCATCACAAAACAACCTTCATTCTCATTCCCATAACAAACCCGCTTCCCCAAAGGAATTTTCTCAGAAATACTCTCATGTATTGCTCACTAGCCCATATGCCACAGTCCTTAGGCTATAGAACCAGCATTTGCATATGCTGTGTTTCACAACTTAGGACACTGATGACTTGAGGCCCACTATAGTTTTCAATCTCTTCATATTCATCTATAATATAAAAAGTCCTCTTCATTTTATATATTTATGTTTGTCTACTTTTCTCTTTATTGCTCTTGTTTCCAACCCCCGACAGCCATACTTTCTTCCATTGATAAATACCTTTGGGACCAAACTGATAGTTTTTCTCTCTAATCCAAGTATGGCTTTCTTTCTAGGGAGGTGTATTATTCACGTAAGTGACTAATCCAGTGGCTCAGGCACATTTTTCTCATTTTGGATGAATTTCTTTTCTGCTATTCTAATTATGTGCCCATTTGTGAATGAGTCAGTAGTTCATGCTTAATAATTATTACTACTATGATTAGACTGATTAATCTATGCCTTCTTGTCACTTCTTTCATCCACTCCTATTAATTTTGTTATTAAATGAATTTATAGTTAAAACTTTGAAATTTGATCCTTTTTTCTCTCACCAAACCTACTCTTCTACTTCTAGCCACCAGTATTCTTATTGCCTTATCTTCATGCCTTATGTAGCCTAAATTCCACTGCGCAACACTGGAAACAAGTTCTTGCCAACAGCCTGAACATCCTAAATCCCCAGCAACTGACAGTGTGAGGCTGGCTGTAAAACGAATCAAAGCAGATTAGTACCAAACTGCACTACTATTAATGAAAATAGGAAAATGTTAGGATAAAAATAATTTTCAAATGAACTCTTTAAAAAAATCAAAAAAGTTGATGAGCATGTTCACATTACTATAAGTGAAAGAAAAGAAGGAGAAAAACATTATAACTTACACTACAAAAACAATGTGCTTTATAAGTTTGTAACTTACCGAAAAGAACATCCAGGCAAAGCCACGTTACGCATGCAAAATAAAACGTAGATACAAACATAAAATACAGTAACGGTTCCCTGACCAGATCACAAAACACAATAATACACTAAACAAAAGCAAAAACCACAACAAAAAATAAATGAGAAAGTAGCAAAACTATAGTTAAGGCACTGGTAAACATAGGGAAGAGGGAAATGAGAATACAAAAGACAAATATTACTTCAATCAACTTACTATTGAATTTACAGAAGTCCCATGTTTTTTTTAAAACCAAGCGCGACATGGTGGTGGTGGTGGTGGTGACGCCCAGTCACGGGCCCGCGGCTTCCGCAGCAGCCTCTCGCGGGCCTCCTACCCTCCTGCCCGCGACCTCCGCCTCAGGGGAGCGCGCCCATGGCCCTGGCGCCCCAGTCCGCGCGGGTGACAGACGAGCCGCGGAGGACACCTTGGGGTTCCTTCCCCAGCGGCAGCCCGCGCGCGGCCCAGCAGCCTCCTGCCTTCCTCCCTTTGCTGAGAATTTTAAGTGGTTGAATAGATTCTCTATGATTTGTCAAATCTTTAATGTTATGTTATTGGAGGCAAAGAAAGATAAAAAATTCATAATGAACCAAATTTTAAGCATACTTTGTTTGGAGAGTGTCAAGTTTTGTGATAAAAGGTTTCAGAAAAATGTAAAATTCTAATGGATGCCCTTTCTGGAATTACAGCAAATCATAGAGAACTCTGATTTCAAACGAGACAATGAAATGTTCACATTGCATTGATAAGTTCATATTGATTCATAAATAAAAGTTCATGACGACCGATGATTCCGTAACATCTTCCTACATCGACAGTAACTGCAGTAGAGGGGGTGAGGATTTAATAATATGGTTAACTGTTGAACCACTGTATTGTATACTGAAACCAACATAAGATTATATATCAATGATACTTCAATTGAAAAAAAAGTTATGATTGATAGTTCATTCCAAAATGTGAATGTATGTTTACCCTTTTTACTGTTCTATTTTGCCTATTTGAAAGCTCATTCAAACCAGTAGGGAGTAAAGTAGGCTTTAGGAAGATATGTGCAATAATAAGCTATGGAGATATTTATAGTGAATATGTGCTCATTCTCTCTTCACATTTTTGCTCTGTAGCCATTTGAAATATTGTGATAGATGAAATTATAATGAAATATCCAAAAACTAATTTAGAATTCCTCTTTTGTCTCTACATTTGTCATAAAGTGAAATTCCTACTTCATTGTTGCAGTCTCTCTTGTTAAAGAATATTTTTATACATCTCAACATAGCAGTAAAAAAATCTCTGTGGGGAATTTAATTTTGACCTTTCATAATCACAGAAAAAAGTAATATATTCTGGGTGTGTTAAATTTTCTGTGATAATTCAGACAACATTCTAAATTCATATCAAGTATCATCCCTCCACGAGTCAAACGTCGTGTTATAGATCTCACATAAGAATAACGGAGTAAATGGAGTGTATAATATAAATGTTGGCTTTTTAAGAATGCATTTATATTCTTACTTTTTATTTTATTCTGATTTATGGACATAAGTACTGAATTATTTTGTCAGACTATATCATAAATATATAAGTATAAATCTATGTTGATTTAATTCTGACTACAGAGACAATGTTCCTAGTGCTAAGGACTTAGTTTTCTACTGTTTGAGTAGTGCATGTAAAGTTTCAAATAAAAAGAGGCATTACACCAAGAAACTAGTTCTGTCCCCCTTCAACTTATAAAAGCTTATCATCAATTTAGTGTTATTCAATACTCCTTAGAAATTATGTAATATTGTAGTTAATTAAAATATGACTAAAATAGACTCGAGTGCCTTTTTACAGAAATATGTTTCAATCTGCATTATAATCAGTTAACTTATCAATAGGCAATGACTTGATGTGCACAGATAAACTTCTTAGTTGTACAAAGAAAAATGCTCTAAAAGCTCGCATATGCTATACTAAAATATTTATAGTCTTTTTGAAAATAGATCAACTCATCTACAAATGTTCTTATGACATAAAAAAGTTTTATAAGCAAGGGAAAATGATACGTTTAGCACTGAAGGCACCATGTTGTCACAAAACTGTTAGATATTGATATGAGTTTCTGAAGTGTACCTGTAAATAATTAATAGTTCTTTGGTTAATAGTGATGTTATAAAACTACTATGTTGAGTCACTTTCTCAGTTTGGCCAAATATTTAATTTCCTGGAATTTCCTAGGTGATTAAAAATAGTATCTTATTTTTTAATAATTAACCAAGATTTTCCTTTCATTTTGAATAGACTCCTTCTTCTAGCATTATGCTTTAGTGTCCATTTGTAAATGAGTCAGTAGTTCATGCTAGATAATCACTAACTGATTAACTATACCATATATCTGCTAACATCTTTACTTCATTTTGGGGGTATCTTCGTAGTAATAGTCCCAACTCAGAGTTATAACCAATAGCCATATAAATGAGACCGGGGGATGGAATATCAGAACAAGAGTGCACCTGAGTGATTCTTTATCACAACTTTATCGCCACTTGAAGACTTATGTGAGTAATTCTCTGGACAGTGTGTTTTTTTTGGAAATAGTATATTTTATGTGGCAAATAGTTAAAAAAATGATCTCTTTAAGACCAGATGTCTCCTTGTTACCCCACACTACAATTCTATCCACTGTAAGGATCTCCAAAAATTCCTCACCAGTATTAGAGTTGGAACACTCATGAGACTCACCTGATGTCTGGTACTTCCTGGGCTCTGCATACATCTGTACAAAATCTTGGGTGTATGTAAATGCATGATTATGCTTATCCTTTATCATCGGCCACCCTCCACAGTGTAAACTTCTCAAGTCAATTCTGGTCAGTATTATGTAATTTCATGTGTGACCCTAAAGTCCTCTACATGCTCCTTTTATTCATTCCGTTGCTGGCTTTCCATTCCTTGTGTCCTCTATAAATTAAAAACCTACACATCCTCTTCAGGGTTTCATCACAAAACAACCTTCATTCTCATTCCCATAACAAACCCGCTTCCCCAAAGGAATTTTCTCAGAAATACTCTCATGTATTGCTCACTAGCCCATATGCCACAGTCCTTAGGCTATAGAACCAGCATTTGCATATGCTGTGTTTCACAACTTAGGACACTGATGACTTGAGGCCCACTATAGTTTTCAATCTCTTCATATTCATCTATAATATAAAAAGTCCTCTTCATTTTATATATTTATGTTTGTCTACTTTTCTCTTTATTGCTCTTGTTTCCAACCCCCAACAGCCATACTTTCTTCCATTGATAAATACCTTTGGGACCAAACTGATAGTTTTTCTCTCTAATCCAAGTATGGCTTTCTTTCTAGGGAGGTGTATTATTCACGTAAGTGACTAATCCAGTGGCTCAGGCACATTTTTCTCATTTTGGATGAATTTCTTTTCTGCTATTCTAATTATGTGCCCATTTGTGAATGAGTCAGTAGTTCATGCTTAATAATTATTACTACTATGATTAGACTGATTAATCTATGCCTTGTCATTTCATCCACTTCTATTAATTTTGTTATTAAATGAATTTATAGTTAAAACTTTGAAATTTGATCCTTTTTTCTCTCACTAAACCTACTCTTCTACTTCTAGCCACCAGTATTCTTATTGCCTTATCTTCATGCCTTATGTAGCCTAAATTCCACTGCACAACACTGGAAACAAGTTCTTGCCAACAGCCTGAACATCCTAAATCCCCAGCAACTGACAGTGTGAGGCTGGCTGTAAAACGAATCAAAGCAGATTAGTACCAAACTGCACTACTATTAACGAAAATAGGAAAATGTTAGGATAAAAATAATTTTCAAATGAACTCTTTAAAAAAATCAAAACAGTTGATGAGCATGTTCACATTACTAGAAGTGAAAGAAAAGAAGGAGAAAAACATTATAACTTACACTACAAAAACAATGTGCTTTATAAGTTTGTAACTTACCGAAAAGAACATCCAGGCAAAGCCACGTTACGCATGCAAAATAAAACGTAGATACAAACATAAAATACAGTAACGGTTCCCTGACCAGATCACAAAACACAATAATACACTAAACAAAAGCAAAAACCACAACAAAAAATAAATGAGAAAGTAGCAAAACTATAGTTAAGGCACTGGTAAACATAGGGAAGAGGGAAATGAGAATACAAAAGACAAATATTACTTCAATCAACTTACTATTGAATTTACAGAAGTCCCATGTTTTTTTTAAAACCAAGCGCGACATGGTGGTGGTGGTGGTGGCGCCCAGTCACGGGCCCGCGGCTTCCGCAGCAGCCTCTCGCGGGCCTCCTACCCTCTGCCCGCGACCTCCGCCTCAGGGGAGCGCGCCCATGGCCCTGGCGCCCCAGTCCGCGCGGGTGACAGACGAGCCGCGGAGGACACCTTGGGGTTCCTTCCCCAGCGGCAGCCCGCGCGCGGCCCAGCAGCCTCCTGCCTTCCTCCCGCCGCCCTTCCGTCCCCACCCCCGGCGCTCTCCGCCCCAGCCGCCACCGAGCCGCCTTCCCGAGCTCCTCCAGTAGGTGTGGCGGCGGAGGCGTCGTCTCGTCGTCTCCGGCTGCTGAGACCGAGGCCGCTTCCCGCAGCCCCGGATGAGCGTTCGGTCTCCTTATCAGCCGCGCCGGCGCCCCCGCAAGGCCGGACGGGGAACTGCGCCGGGGGACCTCGCTGAGAGAATTTAAAAAGTTGTGTCAATTTATCACTTGTAATAGCTTGTTTCTCTTTTCTTCCTCCAAAACACAGAATTGTGTCTGGCTCAGGAACTAAGTGTTAGATACTAATGGATACAGGTATTTGAACCAAGGTATATTTGACTCCAAGTGAAGTACCTGTTCTTCCATGAAGAACTATTTCCCAGAAAAATCCAGTTACTGCTGGTTTGTACACAAAAAACTTGGAATACCACAGTGTGATCCGGGATACTAACAGCACCTCTTGAAAACAGATGGTTTGCAGTTTGGAATACTTCAAAAGGGCTCCCTCCCTTTTTCCTAGGTTTAGGACAGACCCTTACCTAAAAATTAGGTTAAACTAAGCTAAAAATTAATCTGGATTTGGGGTGGAAGGGATATGAGGTGGAAGGCTGGAGGTTACAATCACCTCAAATCATGGTTAATATAAAACTAGGAAATGGTCCTCATTGGATCTGTAAGGTCCCAAAGTTAGGTTCTAAGGAAGGAACAGTGTGTGTGTTTTTCAGATTGGGAAATTGAATACAAAGGCATTTAGAAACAGTAATTCTAAGGTAACAAAGGTCCCTGAGGTTCCAAGAGCCTTAACATGCACTGAATTCCAGATTTCACTTAAAATTGATCCTCCTCCCCTCTCTTCCACCCTCCCCCACAAGTAACCTTGCTTCTTTTACAGGCCAGCCTCCAATCCTTAAAAAAGTCATCTAAAAAAAGAGAGGGGGATGGAGGACAGGTCAGTACTGAGTAGTGTTCAAAGA